TAGGGAAAGTGTGCTTACCAAAACTCTTCTAAACATACTCATTATAAAGTCTACTACAGCACACAGTTCCTTGGTCCCATATGCCAATTTTCTGTGCAATAAATACAAAAAAAATGATGCATTATAGTCCCATCCTTTGGCACTGACTCAAGTTACAGTGTCTCAAAGCGCGTTGACAGCATCACAGCATCAGACAAATAAGAAGAATGTCATGACAGGTCTTGAAAAGAGTTAGGGAGCACGAGCATAATATTGCATGCCCTCACTAACGCTTTTTTCCATCTTACTCTACACCTTCTTCCCGCGATTTACATACTTTCCCCAATACATCATCTTCTCATCGATGCCACAGCAATATTTTCCCCCCCTTTCTCCCAACAAGGCCCTTCTAATAGTGAGCTTAAAGATAAACATAGAATGCCAGGTTGAAAGAGACCTCAAGGATCATCCAGTCCAATCTTTCTATGCTGCAACCAAGTGAATGATCTGCTCAGTCTAGTGGTAGAACTGAAAGAGGAGGTGGAGAGATTGAGAAGTATCTGGAAATGTGAAAGAGAGAGATTGGTGAAGTCACATCCTGCTGGCCTTGAGGCAAAGGCAGCAAGTGGAGGCTCCACAAGAAGTAGATGATCTCCTGCCCTCTTGTTACCAGGCAGAGGGACAGGACCTAGGAGACGAGGGTAAATGAAGGCAGATCCCTGCTCTGGGCAGCAGGTGGGTCCCTTCCTGGCCTCCCCCACCTTCCCAGTTCCCCCTACACAATAGATATGGGGCTCTGGATCTGGAGGACTTGACAAATGAGGATCTTGATAAAGGTCCCTCAGTCGCCCAGGCAAGCAGCCCCATACATTAGTACCCCTCCTATAGAAAATAAGAGGAGGAGGGTAATTGTAATTGGATAATCCTTCTTGAGGGGAACAGAGGGTCTGGTATGCCAGCCAGACCCATCCCACAGGACCATTAGGGAATGCAAGATGGAAATAGATGCTTGGAGTCGCACCCTGCCTCCCAAGATAGAAACCCAGCAGGCAGACAGAGTCCCTGCTGCAGAGAACTCCCTCTCCTCTCTCCGCCAGATTGAATGTGGTGACTTGGAGGACAGGGAGCAACGGCAAGAAGTTTCTGCCCGCCACAAAAAGCAATGCAGGCGTGTCTGCCCAGCAACTACTGCACCTTGCCAGCTGCTGTTACATAATAGATACAGAGCTCTGCAAGAGGATCAGAACAATGGTGAGGGTGTTAGTTCTTCCACACTAGAGGTATTGTCAAGGTCTAGTCGGACCACCACTGTGGGGAACAGTCCATCTTCTCTCCCCCCACATAAGACCAAACAAAATGCCTTTCAAGCCAGCAAAGCAAGAGTGGCGTCTTTTTGCTGATTTAGCCGAGTATGGACTGGAACAGGCCCCTTGCTCTACCAGATAAGTCCACAACAAGAAAAGAACATAAGGGTTATGATAACTGGCAGAAAAATGGACAATAGGTAAAAGACTGCCTCTGGCAGAGTATGTACCTGGCCAACGCTAATTGGCTAATTTGAACAGTGGTACTTTACTCAGTGATTTCTGATCACAGGGCAAGTTCTGCAGGCCCACGGCTCTCTGCCTGCCCCAGGGGAGACCAAGCTGCAGAATCAGAAGCCACCTGGAATGCCACCACCGCTGCCCGGAGAAGCAGAGGGGTGGCCACCTGTACCTGCTCTGTGGGGAGCCACCCCCCTCCCTAAGGGACCGCTGCTTGCCGGTTAATTTGTAAACTAAACATTGGCCTCAGTAACAATTGGTGGGCATGGTGAGGATGGTGTTTCTAGTCTCCACTCTAAGATTCGATCCAGCAGCGATCGATTCTCTGTGAGAGGCGAGCACCATGTGTGCTCTCAGTCTGTTTTAAAGACCCCTCCACATTGCGGGGGGAAGTCATGGAAGCATCCTGACAGCCGGTAGCCTCTGTGACAACATCGGCTCACGACAACCCCCCACATCTATACCAGCTCAGTAAATAATAAAAGATGGGTCATTGTCATAGGTGACTCATTTGTGAAGGGAGCAGAGGGCCAGATATGCAGACTTGACCCTCTCCATAGGGAGGTCTGCTGTGTCTCTGGGGCCCAGGTTAATGATGTAAAGCGAAAGCTTCCTTCCCTAGTACAGCCCTCAGATTATTACCCTCATGTCTCTCGTCGTGTTCTCCTCTATCTCTCCAGTTGTGAGGAATGATGAGTGGGTAAACAAGAAGACCCACCAGATCAATATCTGGCGCCAAATCTGGTGCTGCCAGTGGGACTTTGGGTTTTTTGACCATAGTTTGATTTACAAGACACTGGGCCTGCTTACAACAGATGGAAAAAAACCTATCTCACAGAAGGAAAAGGGTATTAGGGCAAGAAATAGCAGGGCTCATGGACAGAGCTTTAAACTAGATTTGAAGGGGATAAAACCAGGCCCATCAGAGATGAACCTAGGGGTGAAGTGCCAAGGATGGGGGTAAAATCAGTAGGCCAGCTCAAATGCATCTACACTAACACACGTAACAACAAACAGCATGAGCTGGAAGCCATTGTGCACCAGGACAGCTATGACATGGTTGTTCTCATCATGAAAAATTTGCTTCTGGTGTCCAATTGGGATCCCCCCAGAAGTAACTTGCACCCACTACCCCTCATCTTTTCCATGTGACTCCTTGTAAAAAGGGAGTCTCTATTTTCTCGGTAGCCACCCTTTAAGTACTGGAACATGGTAATGAAGTCTCCCTGAAGCCTTCTCAAGGCTGAAAAAACCCAGTTCTCTCAGCCTTTCCTCATATGGCAGGCTTTCCCGTCCTTTGATCATCCTTGTGGGCTTTCTCCAGACCCTCTCCAGCCTGTCTGCATCTTTTTTGCATAGCAGGGACCAAAACTGAACGCAATACCCCAGGTGTGGTCTGACAAGTGCCAAGTAGAGTGGGATGGTGATTTCTTTATCTTTGCTTGGTGATGCCCTTGTTGATGCTGCCCAGCATCCTGTTGGCTTTCTTTGCCTCTGCAACAGTACACTGTTCACTCATATTGAGTGTGTTGTCTACCAGGATCCCCAGGTCCTTTTCCACAGAGCTGCTCTCCAGCCTGGTGGATCCCAGCCTGTGCTGCACTCCTGGCTTATGTTTTCCCATGTGCAAAACCTTACACTTGTCCACATTGAACTTCATAAGATCCTTGTTAGTCTACTCTTCCAGCCTGTCCAGGTCTTCCTGGAGAGTGGCTCTCCCTTCTGAAGTGTCTACTTCCCCACTCAACTTGGTGTCATCTGCAAACTTCATCAGGGTGCACTTGATCCCATCATCCAGACCACTTATGAAGATATTAAGCAGCATCGGACCCAATATCGATCCCTGGGAGATCCCACTTGTGACCAGTTGCCAGTTTGAAAAAGAACTATTTACCCACCACCCTCTGGGTGCAGCCTGTCAGCCAGTTCCCCACCCACTGCACAGACCACTTCTCTAGACTGTATTGCATGTTTTTTTAGGAGAAGGCTGTGGGGAACCTTATAAAAAAAAGCCTTGGAGAAGTCCAGGTAGATGATGTCCACCACTTGCCCCGCATCAATCGAATGGGTTACTTTATCATAGAAGGCAATTAGGTTTGTCGAGCATGATTTGCCCCTGGTGAATCTGTTATGGCTTTTTCCAATCACGTGCTTCATTTGATTTGTGACAGTTCCCAGGAGGACTTGTTCCATAACTTTTGCAGGGATTGAAGTAAGGTTGATGGGCCTATAATTAGCTGAGTCCTCCTTTTAACCCTTCTTGTAGATGGTGAAGTCTTGTTCCAGTCTTCTGGGACATCCCCCAATCTCCATGATTTCTCAAAGATTATGGAGAGTGACCTTGCAATGACATCAGCCAGTTCTCTTAACACCCTCAGGTAGATGGCATCAGAACCCATTGATTTGTATGGATCAAGCTCCTGTAATAATTCACATACCAAATCTTCCTTCACTGATGGTGGGTCAGTGTTTGTTCCCACAGCCTGGGGCCCAACAGCACTGGTGAAGACAGAGGTGAAGAAAGTGTTGAGAACCTCTGCCTTTTCAGCATTGTTGGTGACTAGTTCACCTCTCCTGTTTAACAGGAACTAAACATCTTTAAACAAAATAATGCTAATTATATTGTTTCTATGTATTTTCTCCTCTCTAAGATGGGAAAATATTATGGGAGGAAATATACAACTGACTTATATAATAAGGACAAGAGAAAGTTCTTACTTTCTGATGCTTGGCTCCACGGATATGGGCAGCATAAGCATCTGCTCCTGTACAAGACACATCACAAAGCTCACAGCGCAACTGATTCTGAGTTCCACGAGCAGAAGTGCTGCTGTTATTGGTGTTCTGGGAAGCTTTTAAAGCTGCTTCTTTCTTTTTGTGCTTCTGGCCTTCTAAGTGTTCTTTATAAGTCTGTTTAAATAAACAATACACACATAATAAGCTATCTTTGTACTGCTCATTCATCATTCATGTAAATACATTTAATGTAGAACATAACAAACCACATGCTTTGTATGAGAAATACTTCCTACACTGAACGTTTCTTCCATATGACATGCTCTAAGACATAAGCAGGCCACTTTTAAGACCAAGACATTTTCTTCACCACCAGGATTCCACTTGTAGGTAATATAACATGGTCTTTTCTCCTCTACCTTCTCACTTCCTCAATCAAGTACTGGTCAAAAGATATTACCATAGAAAGTTTAATTAAATCAGAAAATTGCATCTCAGTTGCAATTTCCTGCATCGCATTGAATTATTCTTGATTCTGAATTTTCCTCAAACTGCAAGACCAGTTATTAAATGTACCCAGAGAACGAAAAAAATAAATTCAAAAGGAGGTAGTGCATAAATAAAGCCATACTGAAAATGAAATGCAGAAGTTGATATTTGTTCCTATACCAAAGCTGGCGATCTATAGAGCAGAGAAGGTCGGAAATAATGACAATTTTTTCTAAAAAGCAAGAAGTGTTATGCTACACACACACACACACAAAAACACTCTGCATGAATGGATAATCTATTTTATGCACTTGTACCCACTGTGAAACTAAACTGGGATTCTAGAATACAATGAAGAAGAAATTTTCAGGCTTACCATTCACAAAGTTTTGAAAAAAAAAATTATTTACTAAGAATTTTGCTATGTTAAAAAAGCAAATAAAATTCAAAGTTTAGAATACTTCTGGAGTCCAAAGCACAGCTGAAGCTTCTCTGTACAAGCTAATGGGATGCATCTTTTTGTCTTCTCATAGAACCTCTTTCTATAATAGTACACATTTTTATTTAACTATTCCTTCAATAAAAATATAGAATCAGGTCTTGAACAAATATTCTTAAAGGGGTCAATTTTTTAGTTGAAAAAATTATTACTAAAGTGTATAGCAGAATATTACATAATACATGTACCTGTGGTCCAGCACAGCTGATCTTACAAACATCACAATAGTGGATCTGGGGTGGTTTGGGAGGTTGCTTTGGTTTCAGTTGCTTATTTTGGAATGGTGCCTTTTTAGTAAAGGTGGTCCCTGTCCAAGCAGCTGTTGCAGCAGCAGCAGCAGCTGCTGCGGCTGGCCGGTTTTTTTTGTGGTGGCTG